AATATGTGTGTTTGCTGTGTATATTTATTAAGTATATATAAATACACACACATGCATGTATATATTTCAGAAAAAGATGTTTATATATATAATATATTTATATAATTATATGAATATAAATATACATACGTAAATACATGTACATATTTTCAAAACATATACTGTATGTGTGTATATTTATACAGACATTATAAATAAACAGCACACACACATATATATTATGTAAACGAAAACTTTTATTTTGGATGCGATTAATCGCGATTAATCGTGTGACAGCACTAAGTATCAGGAAATATTTTAAAGCAGTATATGAGAATTTGATTTCAAACACAGTCTGGGAAGGCTGTAAGGCTAAATTATGCACTTACTGCCATTTATTCCTTTTACAACAGCAAAAAACAACATAATTATTAAAACATAATCAGGTTTTCTGACTGACAGCTGAATCCAACAGCTGTGATATCAAATATTAAACATCAGCTCTCGTAGTGAACCTTCACCATAACACACGACCCATAAAAGTCCTAAATGTCACTGTCGATATTCTAATATTTAATATTAACATTAATAATGCATGTTATCGTGAAGATCACAACACTTGAGAACTTAGCGTACTGCTAACTCACCTCCAACACACTCGCTTTTAAACCTCTGCCGTGTTTCTTCGATCTTGCTCTCGATGTCCTTTCGGAGGGCGTAAAATAGTAATTATAAATCCATTTCAAATGAGAATATAACATGTAACGCTTCTTTTGTTTAGCTGTCTGATTACCTGCTCTGATTCCGCCTGTCCTGCCTCCGCCATGATAGAGCGCACTGTAAGTCAGCAGTGGCCCGATCATCAATGGAATCGACCGCAGACTCCGTGAAACTGGGCACACGGTGACGCCATGTTGGCTCTGACATGTCAAACAAACCTTTGAACGGGCTCTCGCAGCGAGATAAAGTTCCTCTGATACGCTCTGGCAATTGAAAGCCAATAATCACATCATGTGCAGAGTCTAAAAGCAGTAAAAGCAACTGACGACATCACGTATTTGTGAAACACTGATTGAATTGTAGGACTGTTTCTTTAAGAAACACCCGGGGAAATGCGAACGTGATGTGCGTCAAATGCGCGCGCAGTTTCTTTGAGGAAGAGC